TGGGATGAAGAAAATAAATCTTCAGCTGATGGTAGCAGGAGAGAGAACCTCAGTGCCTCCCAAGTTCTGATGGGGCAATTCCCTTTTCTCAGCTCATCTCTACCTCCAGGTCCCATTATGGGATATGGGGGGCACAGAGCACTGCTGTCCCATTCCTCCCAGTGCCCAAGGGCACGCTGTCCTGAGCAGTATCACATGCTAAACCTCATCCTGCCCCACAAGGCATGGATGGCTACTGCCATAACCCATCCTGGCACAAGCACTGCTGGAAAGGCTGAGCATGAAGAAAGCGATATTCCCCATCTCTTCAGGTGTCGTCGTAGCTTTCAGTGCTAATTATTGCATGCTTTAATTCATCCGTAATTGATATAATCTTCAAAGCTTCAATATATCTTGATCTGATGCTTCTGCTGTTGTTCCCTTTTCCTTTGAACTGCTGTGAGGAGCCTCCGGGACCCCCCAGCTATTGCTGTATGTTTGCTTTTCATCTGCTCGCTTCTCTTCCCAGAAACAAACAATACCTCAACATTTTCTTCTTGAAAATTCTGAGAAGAGAAGGGGAAAGGGTTATTTGTCAAAGGCCAAATTCCTCAGTGTCTTTCTTCCTTTTGATCTTCTCAGAGTGATGCCAGGGATGTCAGTGCAATGCCCCTACAGGTGCTGGCCATGCCAGGCGATGCTGCAGTGGCACAGCACCAACCCCATGCCCCGCACCTGTAGGGAAAAGCAGTGACTTTGGGATCATTTTTTTGCTTCTCATCTTTGCTCCCTGCTGGAGCTGATTTATCCCTGCGGCTTGCGCAGCTACATCCGAGCAGGGCATGTCTCGCTGTTGTATTACAGCAGATTGCTGTAAATTATCAGCTTCTTGGTGTCAGCCCAAGCCCAACACAGCCCATAAAGCTTCCTGGCCGTGATACTGCACCACAGCACGGCAAGGCCAATGGGAGAGGCTTTCAGCTCAAGGGGGATTTGACCCAGAGTGCCCCATCCATGTCCCTGGGACCCCCAATGGGCCCTGAGCATATCTGTCCAACAAGACATGGCCATGAGGGGATAGATCCATCCCAGCTGCCACCATCCTCAAGCCAGCTGCATCACCCATGGGTGGGCAAAGTGCCCTGCAGTGTGCTTGGTGCCTGAGGCTAGAAGGATTATTACCAGTACTGTTATTTAGTAATGATTATCCCCGAGCATAAAATCAGCAAGATGAAAATTCAGAGGTCTCGGGGCGAAAGCACGGCCTGTTCCATTTATAATCTGTAAGTGATGTGTGCGCCAGTGTGGAGCGCGAGCAGAAGGGGATCTCACGAGAGCCACAAACACCGGACTTTTAATTTAAAACTATCCTTCACTGACTCGAGCCTCTCTCCCACCAGCCCATTTTTTATCTCCCCCTGTGCAACAGTAATCAGGAGGTAACAAGGGAGAAGGGGAACGGATCGTCTTCCAGCGCTATCTGGCTGATTCCAGGGCTGTAAATTATAGATATATATGGTACAAAGGAGTACTGGGATATTAATTTCTGTTGTTGAAAATCACAGCTCCTCTGCTTTAATTTACTGCTAAATAATAAATGACATTGTGAGATACTCAGCAAAGATAAAGACGCCGAAGTAAATCAAAGAGCTCATAAGCACTTACGGATTGGTCTATCGGTGTCGTTAAGTGGCTTATATTGTTCTCGCCAAGCAGGCGTTTAACCGATGTTATCTGCCACAGTAAAGGATGAACCCGTGAATCAAATGGTTTCCTGCAAATGGCCATTTGCATCGGCAGGATTAGATGAAGATGGGTGTTATCCCCAACATTTGTAAGCATACTTGGTGCTTGCTGTCAGCCTGCAATGATTGCAGGACAGGGTGAGTAAGGGCTGGTGCTGTCATCCTGCCCTGCAGGCACACCTACAGCCAAGAGCCGTCAGCTCCGTATCCAGCTGTGCTGCTGGGAGGCATTGGCACCTGTAGCATGCTGTGGAGCTGTGCCCCTGCAGGTGGGCAGTGGGTGGGGGACCCATTGTGCTTTGGGGTCAGTGCCAGCTCCTGAAGGTGTCTTCATGCTGGGTATCCTGATGATGTGAGCTATCACGATGCCCACCAGCACCCTCTCCCCACAGGGCATGCTGGCACTGGGATCTGTGCTGGACACATCTTCCAAATGTGAGATGGGTGAGGGCATCCCTGAGCATGGCTCCTGCCCCAGTTCATGTTGAGGGTGGAAGATGTACCTGGAGTGAGCATCTCTGAGGGCCTGGCAGAGCTGTGTACTGACAGCCTTGGAGAACATAGGAGAGGCCAAAAGGAATTTTAAGGCATGCTTCTGTACTGAAATGTTCCTCCCCTTCACAAATCATCTGGAAAAGCCCCAGTAGCAGCAAACCCCATGGCAGCTTTTTCCCAGTGCCTGCTGACCTACAGATAAGCTTCAAACCCCTTCAAACAGATGGTGGTTTCCAAGTGCTCGAAATCTGCTCCTAAAGAGGCCAGAAAGCAGTGAGTCCCTGTTTGCAGGCACCCCATGCTCCTCGTCATGGAGCTGACAACCACATGTCCCAAGGTACATCTTGCACTGGGATGAGAGACGGTCCCCATCCTTGGGAGTCACAGTGCTGTGTCCCATCTCTATTTGCTGTGCTGCAAACTAGGAGGACTTGACCCAGGCTCCTGCTGTTTCTCTTTGCTAACACTGTTGAAAGACAAGGCAGCTCCAATTTGCCTGAAGCCATTCCGTTACAACATAGCACTGCAGGGAAGGTCTGTACAGAAAACCATGTTTGACAGTGAAAGCATTTTGCTGGAGTACAGCATGTGAAAAACAAATTACTGTGGCATAAACGAGCAAATCTATCATCAGAAGGAAGAGGAAGAGAGAATTACTTTAAGGATCCACGTACAAGACTGTGACAGTAATCATATAACGGCCCTTTGAATGTCAAGGGGGATGAACATGGTTTAATAGTAACCGAAATGCTGCCAAGCTGGGAGACGTGTAACAGAGCAGATGGATGGATAGATCTACCTATTATCTGCTCCCTGGAAGAAAAGGAGGGGGAGATAATTCAGCTTTATGCTTGATCTAGTGTGTAAATCTCAGAGAGATAATGTTTTCTTTTACCAAAGGGAAAAACAAAACAAACCAACAAACAAAACCAGAAAGAATGTTTGTTTTCAGAGCCAGACAGCACTGGTTCAGATATACAAGGAGATGTATAACATTTTGAGGAGGCTGCAGCCCTAGTGGCGTTACATTGAGGGATAGTGGCCTTTATCTAAAAGGTAGCAATAGGAAAAAAACAGTGGACCCTTCAGCAGGGTCTATTGTGATAGGACAAGGGGAAATGGTTTCAAACTTAAAGAGGGGAGACTTAGATTGGATATAAGGAAGGAGTTTTTACACTACAAGCAGTGAGGCAGTGGCACAGGTTGCTCATAGAGGAGGTGGTGCCCCATCCCTGCAGACAGCCAAGGTCAGGGGATGGGCTGTGAGCACTGATGGAGCTGCGGGTGCCTCTGCTCAGGGCAGGGGTGGCACCACATGGCCTTTAGGGTCCATTCCAACTTAAACAGTCCTACGATTCCAAAATTCTATGAAAATGAAAGCACAGGGCGAGGAAGCTGTCACTCAGATCCAGGCAGCAGTGGGCTTCATTCAGCAGCAAAGAGAAAAGGTGAGGAGGTGTGCCCTGCTCTCAGCTTTGACCAGATGTGGGTTGGGCAATGGAGGTTGTGTCTGTATGGAGCAGTGTCCAACCAGTGCACCTCGCTGCCAGCACCGGGTGTTTGCCTCTGCCGAAAACCAAAGGTGCATTTTTGAGTAATTAAAATGAAATCAGCTGAACAGACCATTTGTTCCTGCCTTCACCCCCCTTCACATCACTGCAGGTGTAACAGAATGCGGTCAGTCCTGGTGCTGAAGCTCAGAGCCCTTTGACGCGGCTGGAAAAGCCCATCCATGCAGCGAGGATGCCAGGCTGCCTGTGAGTAAATGGCATGATTGACGAACCTCGAGCTGTGCTGGAAGGCTGCTCTCATTCAGCCCCGATTGGAGCTGTCAGAGCCATTGAAAGGGAAGCACAACTCACCATAAACAGGGCCTCACAAGCCATAAGCACGAAATCAGATCTAAATATTGATTTACTCCATATAAATATATGTGCAATTCCAGCTTCTGAGCACACAGAGATTTAATGCTTTTTCAGAAGCCCAAGACTGAAACCAAAGCCGTGTTGCAATGCTGATCACTCCTATGCTTTGTGTTTGCCTGAGCAAGTCCCCCCTTTTGGAGCTCTCCTCCTTCACCCCGTGGGGCAGGTTGGAGTTCCCTGCGCTCCCTCTGCGTTGGTTTCCCCCTCCCGTGTTTTTCGAGCCCACCCTTAGGCCTCACTCAGGCCTGCATCGGGCCTGCGCGTTGCCATAGCGACGAGGAGCTGGCTGCCTACCCCTTTAAGAGCGTTCCTGGAGGCCGGAAGTGGCTCCGTGCGGCGCTCTGGTTTTCACTTCGTCTCTGTGGTTTTCCTGCCTTTCAGTTTCCGGTGGCGGGCATTGCGAGGGGCGGCGTGGCAGGGGTCCGGGCCTGGGGTGGTCATAGGCGGAGCTGGGGGTCATATTGAGGGCTGGGGATGAGAATATGGGAGCTGGATTAGTCACTGTGGGGATGAGGGTGCAAAGGTTTGGGAAGGAGGGGTCATATAGGGGTATGGGGTTAGGGTATGGGTATGGGTATGGGAGGAGGAGGAGGAGGGAGAAGGCGGAGGGGTTGTATTGCGGTCTGGGGTCAGGGTATGTGGGGGTGGAGAGTCGTATTTTGGGCTGGAGATGAAGATACAGGGGTTTGAGATGGTCGTACGGTGAGCTAGAGTTAAGGGTGGAGGTAAGGGCTGGAGTAGAACTAGAGGGTTCAAATTGGGGTCTGTGAGTCAGGGTAGGGGAGGTTCAGAGGGACATATTGGGCTTGGGGGCACGGAATGGAGGCCTGGGGTAATACTGGGGCCTATAGGCTCGGGGGGTTTGTGTTGGGCTGAGGGGCAGGGCATGAAGTGGGGAGAGGAAGGCTTGAGCAGGGCTGGGGTATCATTTTGCAGGCTGGGGATCAGGGTTCATGAGGCTGGAAGGGAGCACAGTGGGCACTGAGGGGCAGCAGGGCGCTGTGAGTAGTGGGGCTGAGGGGAGTAGGGACCATGAGGGGAGGGTATGGGATGCAAATGGACAGGGAGCATCCCTTGAGTGTTATGTGTAATGGGATCTGTGGTGGGAGTTGCTTCCAGAAGAAATACAGCTCCAACTCATGGCAGAAGATCACTAGGTCTTCTTGGGAAGCCAGTATTCATCAGGTGAGTGCGACTGAGGCAAGGCCAGTGACTCATGCACTCTCCCTGGGTGGGCAGCAGCCACTCAGGAGCCTTTCATGCCCACTGGTGCCACGTAGGCTGAGGGCCTGGGGATGGCTGCTGGCGGCTGTGTCTCAGTCTAGTGCCTGCTGGCCTCACCCGTGGCCCAGATCAACCCCCAGAGGTTCCCCTGCTGGGTTCCTCCTATGCAGTAACAGGTGTGAGCATCCATGCAGCATTCTGATGGTCATGTATGATACTGCACACAACGAGTTGCTGTCTTCAGCTAAAGGAAAGTTCTCTTTACAGCTTGAGGTTTAATTTTGTAATGTGTACTGCATCTTTTAAAAGCTGTCTTGTGCTATTAAGCTGTCATTGCTCTTCCTTTACAGGCAGGTTTTACATGTGGAAGGTAGAATTTAGGTACATGGGTGATCATTATTTTCCCCTTGATTTATCACAGGTATTACCTATTTATTATCTATATTTATTTCATGTAATAGGGAGTACCGATAGGCTGGTTCTTTATTTGAACAAACCAAGGTTCTGTTGAAAGCTGTGTACTTTGTCCTCCTGTTGCATCTGTGCTTTTCTTTAGTGTTGACTTTTTTTCTACAACCAAGGAGTTCAGCTGAGGTCCCAGCTAAGGCCCTTGTGTGCTCTCGCAGGTGTGGGGCAGGCCTGGATTGGCAACTGGCACCCAAACAGCCCAGACTGCTGGGGGGAAAAAAAAAAATCATTCGCCACCACTAAAAAGGCACTTAATTGTTTATTTTTGGTGTCTGGCAGCTGTGTGTGGTCAGAATGCTATAGGAAAGGATTTTAAAACAAGCAGGGGGTGGGGTGCTGTTTTTATGGATTGTTTTAGTTGATGCTGGTGCACAGAAGACAGGTCTGTGTGGGGCAGTGGTCTCCAGCTTTAGCTGGCTTTCTTGCTAAAACCCTGACTGGGTAATGGGCTCTGTTTGAAAAACACTGCACAGCGCTTAGGAAATCTCCATTTTAATTTGCTTTCCTGTGGCAGTAAAGCAGTCCTAAGGGGTTTCTCTGAGGTGGCTTACTGTGTGTGAGCTGGAGCCTTTTGGGCTTTTGCAGGAAGCTTGCTTGGGATCACGAGAGGAGCTGAAGTGTAGCTGTCATTGCTGTTACCAGCCAACAGCAGGGAGGGCCAAGTTCAGCACGACTGAGATGATAAAAGTCTAATGCTCATCTCATTTTTCTTTAAGGGATTTGAACAGAGCTGCCAGATGTTTAGCAGGGCTCAGGCAAAGGGAACAGCAGACATTACTGGGTGCCTGCAGACGTGGGGCACTTCCAGTTAAATCTGCCCAGTTGCCAGCAGCTATTTGAATGCATGGGGCTATCCTTATTGGCCATGCCCAGGGGAAGGTCCTACTTCGAAATGGAGACAGACATCAGATCCTCTGGTCCTCCTCCACAGCAGGGTTGAAATCAAAGCTTGTATAGATTTGTGAGGTGATAAAGTAACTGCCTTCTTAAATGACACGCACCTTTGGCAAAGTGTTTGTTTCATCAGTGTCAGGCAGACACATGTTCAGAATAACCTTGCTTCAGAGTGAGCCAGGCTGCCTGCAGCTTGCAAGGTACTTGTAGATAAAGCATGGTGCTTCCCAGTACCGCATTCAGCTGATGGGCTGAATGCTTATTGCTTTTTCTCACCTATGTCAACTCTGTTTTTCTTGCAGCCCTCACCTAACATAGCAAGTATTGTACCTGATGTAAAACTGTAGCAGTGATGCAGTTTAACGTCACCCTTCTGGTCCTCTGTGGACTGTAAGGTGAATTTTGCTGCCTTTTGACTTCAGCCAACAGTGACAATTGTGCTTGGATTCAAGTCCATGGTGGCTCAATGAGCATGGGGTTTCTTTTGGGAGGGAGGTTGGCACCTGAGCTGCTGCCTGGGCTCTTGTTTGAGGCTTAGAAGCAGCAGCTTGCAGTGTACACATCACTAAGTACTGTGCTTAATGCTTGCTGCTCTTTATGTAGGTGTTCCTGCTTACCATGGAGTGGCTGCTGAATCTGCACCCTCACCAAGGTAACTGAGCTAAGCTGTGCTCTCTGCACACCAGATGCAAACTGTGTGCTTGGAATTTGAAGCCAATCCTCCCTTTGTCTTCTAATGTTAAATTCACCCGGGCAGAACTGTCTGACAGTGTCAGGCTGCAGTTAGAAAACATTTCACTTTTGTGCTGCTGCAGACTGACACCCTTTGTTCAGCTTATTACTGGAACAAGCATTTCCATTTCCCTTTCCCTTCACTAATGCCACTCTTGCCTGGGTTACAAGTTGGTATTTTCTATCACCTGGGCTTCAGGACAAAGCACGTGGGACCCTAGGTAGAGTGATTGCAAATAACCTGATCTCTGTTGCACCTGGGAAAAGTTATTTGTCTGAGTGAGGATTTTCCTGTCAAGCAACTTTTAAATGACAGAGTATTTCCTCATTTCAATGAATGTGCAGCATAACCATTTGCAAGAGGGCCCTGGGTTGCAGGCTGCTCGTGGAACACTTATTTGCTCTGGTGCCTTGGCTCGCACACTGAGCAGCCCTGACATCTGTGTGCAGCTTTCCCTGCAGTATGCTTGTTCTGCTTGAATGTCCTGGTCATTTCTTTTCAGGTGGCTGAACCGAAGATCTGTCTGCGTTATGGTGAGAGTTCTGCCCCTGCAGTTCCATTTGTTTATACCTGTGTGGTCTCTTTAGGCTGTAGAAGGTATTTTTGCCAAAGTAGATGGTAAATGTGAATAAATTCCAATTCTTCAAGCTGACTGTTTTTCTTTCTTATTTAATCCCTGCTACTGTGAATAATGTAGGAAGGATTTTAACATACTGGAGGTGTGCATTTAGGCAAGGAGGCACGTAAAGCTTTCTCCTGTGCTGACACCTGTGTCCAGGGCAGCCACGCTGGAGGGTCGTGGTGCTTTCAAAATCTCAAGGAGTGATTCATTCCTGACAGTTGCTAAAGCAATCCTGAAAAATGTGAGAGCATGTTTGCAGTGTGCCAAGCTCTAGCCTCCGCTAGAGGGTGCGAATGTCTGCGAGAACAGTTGTGTTTCATTGAAACTGGGAGACTTTGTTTAATCAGATGTGCAGGCAGTCAGACTGTGGCAGGATTATGTTCCAGTTGAAAAACTGCTCTCTGTGTTGGCAGCAGCCCAAGTTACATCTGCTTTATGTAACCCATCAGCTGCACTGGCTGTGAAGCCCATGTGATGCTCAGCCCTTGCCATCGTGCATCCTGTCATGCTCTTGAGCAATGTGTGTGTGTGTCCGGGGGGAGGCAGCTCTGCTCTGTGTTTGGTGCTGCTTCCAAGTTCCCTTTCCTTTCATCTGAACAGTGACATCTACCCTTGCTAAGCAAGTAGCAAACAGTAAGTTTTCATTTGCACTGCAAAGAGCCTGGCTTTTGGGTTTCTTCTCGTAGGGGGAATTTTCACTGAATTTGCAGTATTCCCAATGCAAATAAAGCCTGAAGCTGGTGTGCTTTGGAACCATGCTAGCTGCTGAGCTGATACAGCCTGTGTGTGTGCTTCCCCCGTGCTTGGTGCTTACGCAGAGCTCATCTCACAGTGGACACACTGCTCCTTAACTCCTTTTGCTTCTGCAAAAATAGTAACGCTCTCTCTGGAGGTTTTAATTCGGAGTAGGTCAGCAAGAAGTTGGTCAGTGTTTTTTCCCATCTGCTGGGAGCTGCTGTGTCACAGTCATGTGTACCGACTGCTGAGAACGACCCCCAGCTCACCCAGGTTCTTGCTGCAAAAGCAGTGCGGGGCTGAAGCTGATGGATTGCACTGAAGTGCTGCTCTGGTAAAAAGCCTCCTTGTGCAGCTTGCACAGGGGTCTCTGCCTCCAACGTGGAGAGTGGATTAGAGATTGCAAACATCCTTAATTTGAGGAAAGCACAATGGAGTTGGGAGAAGTGGGTCACTTGTGTATTTGGGGCTCTGGAAACTGCAAATCATGCTTAAGGGTCTTAGTTGCTCATCAGCTGAAGTGACTCTCAAACTGCACTGTAAAAGTGGTGTATGGGGGTCAGGAGCAGTGAGTGCTGTAGCCCTGCTGTCTGAAGGCCCACGTGCCCTGGGAGAATGGATGCACCATGTTAGTCACTGTGTGGCTTCCCTCCAGCTGCTGTGAGCTTCCTTGTGCTTGGGAGAAAATGAGACAGCTTGCACTGTGCAGGTGGAGCACAGGGGCCCCGAATGGGCTGGAGTCCTGCAGATGAGTGAGGGCATTGCACTGAATGCCTGCCACGTTGGCTCTGCAGACAGGGTGTTTTTTTCAAGCCAAGACATTCACTTCAGGATCTTGTCAACCCTTCTTCCTGGAGGACCTTAGATTGGGCTGAGCATCTCTGGGTGCACCTCTGCCCCTGATCCAAGCACAGCCCCAAAGCAGTACCCCACCCTGACTCTCCAAGCACACCCTGTTTATTTCTCTTCCCCAGTCATGAAGGAAGCTGTGAGCAAAGTGCTTTGGTCACCCCCGTAGCTCAGGGTCTGTAGGCACAGCCCCACCACCTGAGCGTGATGCAGTGTTGGCAGAGCCCTGGCTGCAGCACGTGCCCTGTTGAGCCATGCACTTGCTTGTGCAGACTGCAGGACATTCCTCCCTGAGCTCAACGTAGGTCTCTGAAGCAATGAGTTATGCTTGGATGTGCTCCTTGCTTGGAAACAGCTCCAAGATCTGCAGCAGCTCTAAGCCCTTGCATATGTGAGTGGTGCAGCATCCCCCTGAGTCCCCCAGCCCTGGCAGCTCTGCCTGGCTCTGCTCTGCTCCTTCTGTGCCGTTAGGTCCCAGGGCAATGCCAACACATCCAATTATTTTCTTACTGTGCCCTACTGCAGCTCCTCCTGCCAGTGCAGGGATTGGAGCTGCTGCATTGCTGGGGCTGCCTCCTCCAGCACTGCTCAGTCCCTCCATGTTTGAGCAGTGAGGTCATGCTCTCCTCATCCCCTGGCTTGAAAAAGCTGTACCATTGTGCATTGTGTTTTTGAATGGGAAATTGGGCTCGATTGTCAGTTCTCCTGCAAAGTGAACCCAAGCACAGAGGCTCGATGCGATCTCCTCTAGTGTTTCTGACTGCAGAGCTAGGTTTTCCCATGACTTCTTGGTGGTTCTGAATGCAGGATACCATGTGCTCTCAGCCACGTGGCAGCATCCATGGGGAAGTGCTTGACTTCTCAGCCCATCCAGATAGCAAGCTGCTCTGGGGAAAAGTAAAACTCCAGGATGGGACTCTTGGACTATGTAACTTCTCTACAGTAACTTTTCTTCTGACACAGAAGGAAGAAGGAAAAAAAAGCCCTATCTACTGGAGGGATCTGTCTGTAACAGCAGCCATACCTTTCTGCTGTGCTGGCAGACACCGATAACCGACTGTGCCACAACAGCTCTGCCATCCTCTTGCAGGACTTGAGGCTTGATAAGGTTTGTGTTGGGTCAAGTCTGTGTGATCTGCTGGACCAGAGCTCCCATGTTCTGGTCCTAGTGGGAGGTATTGGGATCTGTGAAGTGGAAAAGGAGGAAAATGCTGGAGAGCTGGAATGGGCAGTTGGCTTTTCCCAGAGCTGACCGTGAGCCCAGTGGGTTTTGTTGGCTGAAGCAGTCCGCAGGGTTCCCAGCTGTTGGGGTTGGAGATGTCTTCAGAACTGGGAACCCAGCTTGAACTGAGTGAGAGGCAGCCTCCTTCCCTGATGTTCCATACCCAGTCATCCTCCAGGCAGGGCTTTAGGAGGTCGTTCACATTGTCAGCATGAGTGCTCTCCTCTTCAATGACAAATCCAGGCTGCAGAGCCTGGGACTGATTCCCTCCTGCATCCCTGGGCAGAAGGAAGCTATTTGGGAGCAGCAGGGTTGGGATGTCAAAATACTGAGCGTTCCTTAGCCTTGATTCTGCTTCCAGTGCTCTAGAATTACAGCTCCTTCCTTCTTACAGTGTGCCCAGGTGGTTCTGCTTCCACCTCAGCTGGCACAGGAGCAGGTTAATCCCATTGGTGCGTTACACAAGCAGTTGGACTTTGCATCCTAGAAAAGGAAACGTCTACTTTTTGCTTGGAGCTACAGGAAGTGCACGGAGAGCTAGGGCTGCTCCTTGGGGCAAGCAGCACCACCTGCTTTGCTCCTTTCCTCCCTCTCCATCCCCATTGAGAAGCTTTGGCTGCTCCCTTAAGGTACACATCTGGGAAGTGGGTTAGCAAGTGCTGCCTTAGGCCAGAACTCTTTCCTCAATCATTAGCTGAGGTTTCACCTTTGCTGACATCTGTCTGTGCTGTTGCACCGGGCCCTGGGCAGGAGCTGGTGCAGCACAAGGATCACAAGCTGGGCTGAGTTCAGTCATGATGGGCTGCAGGCAATTGAAGAAAGCTTTAAAAACTGTTCTCTAAGGTCTGGAGTTAAGAAATCTGCCCTGGCTCCAAATTCTGGACTATCCAGACAGAGGTGATCAGGCTTAATCTGACAGCTATTTCTTAAATATTTTAAAAGCTGCCTGGAATAAACTGAATGCTTCCGAGTAGTGACCTAAATTCCACTTGCTGTAAATTTCATTAGAAAGTGGATTTGTGTGCCTGCCAGCAGCAAGCTGCTCTGCAGCTCCATTGATCCGACCAAACCATGTGCTGTGCAAGCGCCTTCCTCAGCAGATTTGTAGGGAGCTCACTGCTGCATGCTGCCATTCTAAATGTTGCTCCTCGCCGCCTTCTTCCTTTCCTCTCATTTCTGTCTTCCTGGTGCAAATGCATCATCTGTTTATTAATCACTTGCATCGTTAACTGTGCATCCTTCAGCTAGCTCACTGTTGCTGCTTCACATCCCGTAGCAGGCAGGCAGTCCTGCGGGGTGCATGGGCTGCCCAGGGATGCTGCAGGGAGGGCACCTGCAGCTCTGACACCCCTTAGAGAAGCCTCCTCTCCTTCTGCTGCCCCAAAGAGCTGTTTATCCTTGTGCAACCACGACTTGGCGCTTTGCGGGGAGGTGTGACGGCAGCACAGATGGCACACAGTGAGAACTGATAAGGAAAAGTGCCTGGGGACACCTGGTGCTGCCAGAGCTGCGAGCTCGTGTCCCCAGGCAGGGGCACACAACTCATTGCAGCCCACATGCCCGGGCCCCAAGAGGTCCTGCTGCCTCTCCCACCTCTGTGCTGCTGTGGGAGATGCTCAGGACCTGGCTGTCCTCTTCCCAGCCCGTGCACCAGCAAGAGGTGCTGCTTTGCCACAGCAGGGACTGATTTTTCAGAAGTGAAACCTAAGGCTGGAGTCGAGGGGCCGGTGTCACTGAGCATGGACCTTCTTAGTGCAGCACTGCTGCCCCCGTGAAGGCCCTGTGGAAGGGCTGTGGCAGAGCAATGTGTTTTTCAGTGCTGGGCACATCACCACAGCAGCAGTTGTCCTCTGCAGCCGATGAGGGGGTTAAGCAAAAGATGAAATTTTTCTCTGTCTCCTCCTTGTTCTTTCTGATCTCCGCCAACGGAGCTAAAGATGAGGGAGGATTTTTTGTCTATATTTAGGTTTGGAGAAATTGCTATAACTAATCGGCTTTAGGATATAGGGCTCTCTCTTCTATTTTATCTCTTTTTTTGTCAGTAGGACCTTGTCATGTGGCTGTGGGCTGCTCGGAGTTTTCCGGGCTCCTTTTTTTTTTCGGTGGAGTCAATGAGTAACCCACCAAAATAACACCTCCAGCTGTTCCTCCTGCAGCTGCTGGGCTGAAGACTAATTACCAGGTCCTGCTCCAAATGCTGCTTTGCATACAGAAGTGCC